ATTCCTTGGATCGTTTTTGTGGCTCTACTGTGGATGCACTTTAACAGGTCCACATCTCTCCTGCGCTGTGGACTCCACATCTGGATGCAGTGCTCCAAGTGAGGCCTCACCAGTGCAGAGTAGAGGGTCAGGATCACCTCCCTTGACCTGATGACCATACTCCTTTTGTTGCAGCTCAGGATACAGTTGGCTTTCTGGGCTGTGAGGGCACATTGCTGGATCATGTCCAGCTTGCCATCCACCAGTGCCCTTCAAGTCCTTAACAGGGCTGTGCTCCATCCTTACATCACTAGCCTGTACTGATAGTGGAGTTTACTGTGACCCAGATGCAAGCTGCTGCACTTGGATTTGTTGAGCCTCATGAAGTTTACCTGGGCCCATTGTTCCAGCCTGTCTAGGTCTGTCTGGGTGGCATCCTTTGGGTGTGTTGACTGCATCACACAGCTTGGTGTCCTCTGCAAACTGCTGAGGGTGCACTCAATCCCACTGTTGATGTAATTGGTGAAGATGTTAAAGAGCACAGATCCCAGTACTGATCCCTGAGGGATGCCACTTGTCACCAGTCTCCATCTGGACATTGTGCAGTTGACCACCAGTCTCTGGGTATGACCCTGCAACCAGTTCCTCATCTGTTGAACAGTCTACCCATCAAATTCTTATATTCTCAATTTGGAGAGAAGCATATTATGGACAACTGTGTCAGAGGCCTTACTGAAGTCCAGGTAGATGTCATCAGTGGCTCTTCCGTTGTCCTCTTACGGTTAAACCATCCTAAAAAACAGTGTTGTTGGTCAGGCAGGACCTGTCCTTGGTGAAACCAAGCTGGTGAATATTTCTTGGTGAAGCTGGTTATCCCATATCACCTCCTTCTCTACCCTCTGCCGTAGTGTCCAGCAGGATTTGTTCCATGAATTTGTCTGGCACAGAGGTGAGGCTTGCAGGTCTGTAGTTCAGATACAGTTCGCTTGTCAGATGGATGGCTTCTGCAACTGAATTACATCTGTTTCATTACCATCCCAGCCACAGACACAGCTCAGATGCAGTGGCCTTTCTCAAGGATGGGAGCTATTTTTAGTTAGGGAAATGGGAATATCCAAATAGCCAGAGGTTTATTTTAGTGCACTGTAACTATTGAAAGAGCTCTGAGGAATCTTCGTGTTTCTCTAAGATCTACAGCTTTGTTCAGTTAAGGCTCCACGAAGGGGGCTGTGTCATTTCAGCCACTTGGGATTCATTTGTGGAAACACAGCAGCTTGTGCTGGCTTTCATCCAGCTTTGCTGCTGGCAAAACATGTCTCTGCACTCTCTTTGTACTCTCGGCTCCATGACCAAAAGCCTGTTTAGCCAGTTTTTCAAAGTAGTCTTCTGACTCCCTACTTCCCTCTCAGCACATTTTCCCTGAGAAATGTTTTGTGTTTCGTGGAGGTAAATGTGTAGAACAGCTTGTTTAATTTTTTCTCTTTTCTCTGCTTGATTTTTAATCTGTGTATCGAATTATTGAACATGTTCCTTTAAATATAGAGTGATTCATCAGAACTCTAGCACAGACTGAGCGGCGGAACCATAAGGGGTGGAGGATGATGCCTGTACACTGTGCTTCCTGCAGTGAGGACTGGTTGCAAGATGCAAACAGCGATAATTAGCGCTCTTTAACTCAGTTACTACAAAATGACTAGGTGAACAGGGAAGACAAGAGGGTGTGTGAGCTTGGGGGAAACCTGAATGTGGGGCAGCGCTGTGGAGAGCAGGACGAAGGGGGATGACAGGAGGTAAATAGCTGAGATGGTTTTTCTGAGTGGAGTTAAGGGAATGTGGGTGGAGTTTACAAAATGGTTGAACTGTGGACAAGTTGTTGAAGGTGTGAGAGAAAATTGCAATGTAAATCTGGCACTGGTCTTAACGTGTTTTTATCTTGCTGTATTTGGCGTATGAACGTTGCAGGCTGTGTTCTGAGGTGCTGCCTGAAATTTATAGTGTGAAAAAGGAGGCTCAAGTGGCCTTTCAGCTGAAACTTGTAATCACTGAACTTGTATTTATAAAGCTGCATTAAAATGTATGTGCTCTAGTTGCTTTAACTCCTGAACGTGTGTGATAGACTTTATCTGTCTTCTCAGTTGTATGGGAAACACAAAAGAAAAAAGATTAATATTTCAGTGCAACAGTCTTGATTTGTTTATTTTTACCAATGTATTTGATACTGTTTGGTCTGAGTGCTTCCTCTCTTATCCAAACATTTTTTCCTTTTTATTTTCTAACTTGAAGACTTTTTGAGAGCAATTTGCTTTACAAATAAATAGGAGTTTCCACTCCTGCATTTCCTGCTTCACTTCTTGATTCTGATCAGAGCAGCTCTAAAATTGCACTTGAGTTATATGGCCTTCTGTGCACCTTCAGAAGCATAGGGTGCAAAGTTGGAGATCTAGGAGTGTTTTGTAATTGCTCTACAGTAAGGCTCTGCTTTGCTTTGGCAAGAGCTCCTGTACATCTTCTGGAGGCTAATGCCTACTTCCATTTCCAATCCTTTCTTACAAATATTTGCTTTTTACTGTGCCTAGAAGTTAAAACAGGAGAAAGATGTTGCATTTAGTAAGAAGGCAATTCTCATTGTATTTGTTACAGTGAGAATATTTGTTGCTGCCCCATAACAGCATTTCTGAAGTGGTTCTTTTTGAGCTCTGGCATTTTCTTCTTTTTCTGGTGTTTACACATCAGTTGAGGTATTTAGAGCACTCTTGGAGCTCAGTTTTCTGACTTTAAATCATTCCTAAACAATGACTTGCTTTACAGCCTCAGGTTCTCCAAGCCTTCAGCTCGTGGTGGGAACCTGGGCTACCAGTCGGGAGGAAACTGGCATTCTGGTCTGCAAGAATGTCTTGTGGTTTGTTTGTTTGCTTTGATAGTGTGCAAAGAATTGCTTTGGAAAGGTTTAGAGGAGATATTTCACCCTTTAAAAAGTTTCAATTATCTTCTGTTTTTATATAAAATGAAGTTATTTAATATCACATATATATATACTTACCGGGGCTGCTCTGAAAGTAATGCCTCCTATTTTATCATGTTGGCTTGAACCTTTCCACTGATATTCTGTTACATTGTGTTGCTGTGCGACAGATGGCAGCAGAGGGGCAGTCTGATGGAATGGTTTCTGACATGGGAAGTGTGAAGAAACCAAAGGTGTGTTGCTGAATTCCTCCTCCAGATGGAAAATAAATGGCACCCACTGACATTCACTGATACTTGCTGAACACGTGTGGAGACCAAACAGTGGATGTGAGCAAAGGGAGGCAGTGGGTGATGTTTCAGCAGTGTTGACAGTAACAGTGGGTCACCTCTGCTACTGTAGGATTTTGAGTGTGGTAAGCAGGCTCCTGGTCATTGCTGGTGAGAATGCTAATGGTGGTGACTACGTTGATAAACAGTGTTTTGTAGCTGACAGTTTGCTCTACCAAGTACTGTTATTGCCCTCTTTTTATCTGTTGTAGTTTCCATGGGAATAAATAGGAGGCATTACTTTCAGTGTGACCTACATACAGAGATATGTAGATACATCTTCAAATTATATCTTTATTATCTTTAAATTAGGCAAGCTGTGCAAGATGCTGATGTAAATAGCTCTCCTTACTCACTTCTGTCCCCAGTTCTCTGTCTGGGGACGTGCAATAGCTGTCACTACAGTGTTTCTGAACTCAGACTGGCAGAAGAACACGAGCTAGCTGTCCAAGCCTAAAAAGTGATTCTATGGTTCTATGATTCTAAGTGGACCCATGTTGGGTTTAAGCAGTTACTTCAAATTAAAGCCTGGGTAATCTTGTCTTTGCTGCTACCACTGTGTCTAATGTAAGATTTCTCCCTTGTGAGACTTACCTTTGGGACATAATTGCTATGTTTGTTCAAAGTTATTGTGTAGCTGTGAGAGCAGATCATTAGGCTGTTGTCTTTAGAAAGCAGAGACTGTAACTATGTACAGTGTTGCATGTGTTGATAATAAAACAAACCAGCTGTTATTTTCCACATACACAGATTAAAAGACAATATATTTATATCTTTGCAGTTGCAGATTTGTTCTTATTTAAAGGGGAGGTATTTTTCTGCTGTAGGTTATAGCTGAGAGCAGTGGGTGGCTGCTACTGCATCACGATTAGTTATTTCTTTGTTTGTGATGTGATGCTTTCCTGGGAGTGAGTAGCATCAAGAGGGAAGCTTAGAATAATTATATTTGTGGCCTTGAATGTTAGTTAACGAGCTCCTTTGTACTGATTTCATATATGTAGAAACTATACTGTGTTAGTTACCAATTAGGAACAGGGAATTTAATCCTGATATGGGCTAATAAAAGGCCAGAAGCTGTTGTCCAAGGATGGAAAATAGTACTGAGTGAGACAGATGCAGCCCTTTCCTCTTGAGGATTGACCTTTTTGGGGATAATCCATTCTACATGCAAGGAGTAACTTGATTTTAGCTCATAATTTCAGTTCTTAAGGCATCAGACCAAAGTTTGTTTGTTTTTCCTAGCATATAACTTTTGAAACAGTAAATTGTGATGGGTTGGATTTTGTTTTGTTTTGAAGTTTAATTTAAAGCAAAATATGGAGGATATAACTGTTGTCAAAGGTGTCGTAGGTTAAGAAAGATTGTCATACAGTTAGTATTCTGATTGATCTTGGAGGGATTTTTTCCTTTAAAACACGGCACAGCAATTTTTAATTATTAGTTTGGATTTTGAAGCTTACTATTACAATACCACTTCCTTTATATGATCACTAAATTCTTCCTAGTTGTCCTTTTTGTCTTATTGCTGGTGTTCTTGATGGGTTTGCAGAATATAAAATGTTTTTTGTCTGCATTTTACTTAGGAGCTCATGTCTGTTCTATATCATTTTTTTTCAAAAGTTATGAATTATTGAACTTTTTACCTTTCTAAAAGAAGAGTTTTTATAGTTACTGTTTGTTTTATTGCATTTCGTGTGTCAGTCAGTAAATGCAAGTTACCTCTTTTTCAGTTTATTCAGCTGGTATCCAGTGATTTGAAAGTATTTGGAAGGAACTCTTACACCCTTTGCAGTGATGGCCAGTTACTCATTCGACAAGTCCTCCACCCAGAAACATCTAAGAAGGTATGAGATCAGAACTGACATAGAAGAGCACTACTGTGTTTAACTATATTCTCTGACGTCCTTCATCTGAGTTTGAGATGAGCAACACAGTTCCACCCTGGGAACTGTAGTGCTCCAGGAATACTTCTGATGATCCTCACCTTGTAGACTATTACTGTGCTTCAACACTTATTCTGGAAAATCAGCTAGAGCACTAGAGGACACCCAGGCAAGCATTATGAAGGAGAAAATAAGGAAAGACAAGTTAGAAGAAGAACTACAAGTTGCCTGTATTCTGTGTTGTAGGGCATGATTACAAAGGTCTGACCTCAGTGGACGTGATAGAAGAGAAGTATTCCTCTGTTTAGGTTTGAATTAAGTCACTGGTCGCGAGCAGGGTTATGTGTTTGTACCAAACCTGAAGTTGGTAGGACCATATGTCAGTGTCCTGTAGAAAGAAAATGTGCAGGCAGTGACTTGGCCTGGAGAATGGCAATTGTTTCCCATCTGTATTTATTCAGCAGAATGCAGTACTACAGCTTATTTGCTACTCCCACACAAAGCAGCAGTTCCCAATGAAGCCTGATTTGCAGAGGAAGAAGCTTGCCGTTGTTTGGGGTGGTGGCTGCCGAGTTAACCTGCTTGACAGGGACTGAAGAAACCCCACAGGAATGGGAGCAGCTGACATTGGAGTTGATCAGCTGTGTTATTTCCTTCTCTGTATAGGTGTACTGGTCATGCTGAGTTTTTACAAATACTTGTTTGGCATTTGTGTTGTATTATAAATCATAACATTGTGACTTTTCATAAAAACACATGCTTTTGTGGGAAAGAAACACGGAAACAATGATATTTAGTGTTCAAATGTGTTAGCATTGTTTGTTTCTCTTTTAATATGCCATCCTGCTGTATGGATTGTGGGTAATTCTTTATATTTCTGTCTTGACACAAATGAACTAAAGCAAGACAAACAAAAAAGTATCCTGGAACTGGAACTGCCCATACCTGATCAAGCAATGGACTTGATGACATTCTTAATCTTCCAGTACTGCATTTCTTTCTTTTCTCTCTCTCTTTTTTTTTCTTTTTCTTCAATACATTTTCATTTGCTGCAGTTTAATTTTTCCTGAACACTAAGTATTATTAAGCCTCAGAAGCTGGTTCTTGCAATTGCTAACAAGGGCTGCTTTGTGATTTTTCTCAATTATTTTCAGAGCAAAGGCAAACTTCCATATAGTGAAACAGTTGGGGAGAGTAAAAGAGAAATTATTAGCAGAACTAGTTCTGGGCTATAACATGGGGACAGGAGCCAACGTTCAAATGAAAGAATGCTTAAATATTTGTGTAATAATGTTATATAACTGAAGTTGTTATCAAATATGTAATAGTGAAGGAGTGTCTTTAAGTTTGTGAAGATATTTTGTAGGTTCTGACAATATTGATACGTACTGTTACCATGTCTCAGTACCATATTGCTTTTAAATGTTGCCGCAAAAGAGGAAATAACAGTGTCCTAATGGGAAGAATATATATAGCAGGAAAAACAATTTTGGAGGGTTTTGTAACTTTTCCTAGATGTGGAGTTGTTTTGCATAGGCCTACCTCTCAGCAGTTACTTGGGTGTGCTCATGTAGAGAGAGAATTCTGTAAGACTGCAGTGTCTGAACTGTTCCAAAGGAGGAAAAAATCCAACCTGGTCTATCTTAGACAGGCTGATGACATGCAACTATGTAGCTCTTGAGATGGCATCGTTCAGTCCAGAAATACTGATCAGAGTGTGAAGGAATGTGTACAATGCTTTTTTTGCTTTCCTTGTAGAATTTCCTGCTGTCAGAATGCTTCTATTCCTTTTATGATCTGCGCAAAGAATTTCACACGTGCTACCCTAGTTCAGCCGCCGTGAAAGACCAGACTATCAAGACCATGGCAGAATGTATCCTTTTGCTGCAGTTTTTGCAACAGAATTGATTTCTCTTTTTTAGGTTTTATCCTTGTGATTGTTATGGGTTTTATTCTCCTAAATTAAGATGGGTTTTAAAAAATCTCATGCCTGCAAAATCAAATTAACGTTTGCTGAAGTGTGTGTGTGCACGCAAGGGTCTGTTTGTAATGGTTTTTCTTTGTCTCTAGTAATGGAATCTAGACCATATTTAGTAAATTACTAAGGTGCACACCAACACTAAAATAAAACCATCCCTTGCATGTGTATTTGATCTTAATGGAGAAAGGTTTAGCTATCGGTGGGCCTTTTCAGAGCTAGATGGCCTGCAAATTTCCAATGTTTGCAGACAATTATTATTCTTTGATTCTGTTTTGTGTAAAACAAAAAACTAATTGAAAAAATGGACAAAATAAACCACTTCTGTATCTAAATTTTAGGAGTAATTCTGTGGCTCCAGAAGAATGTGGTTAAAGTTCAGTTATGTTTGAAGTGATAGGAATTTATTCTACTTTTTTTGAGCTGTTAACACTATCAGTAGTTCTCAGAATGTTGACTGTGAAAGTGAATATTAACCAGTTTGTGAGCATAGTCACAAATGCCTGATGGCCATGTGTCCCTGTGAAGGCTGGTATCACTTGATTATCAATTTTTTGTTAATAACAGGAAAGCCTGTGGCTTGTTTACGACTATTTGTTCAAGTCTGTTATTTTCTCTAATTGCCTGTTCAGATCTAGGCTTAGGGACAGATGAAGCAGAGGAGGACTTTGGCGTGTGGCAAGTAAAAACAATGGTGGCTATCATTTTCAGCATGCTCTCTGAAAATTGTGGTAAGTGATCTATTTACACAGAATACTGAAATTTTTTCTCTCTTGATGAATGGCCAGTGGAACTGTCATTCTTAAGTAACCTCTGACCCTGGTTATGTTTAAACTTCCCGCTTTGTTGCAGATCACATATTTACTGACCCTGAAACTGTGAAATACAAGTACGAAACAGGTCCTTGGTAAGTGCCTTTGTCACAGTTCATTACAACCAAAGCTGAGTCTCATCTGCAGCAGAGAAAGCTAGCAAGTGTTTCCCTGCTGTCACTATGGAAGTAGGTTGGATCCTGAGAAAAGTAACGGTGTGTTCAGTAATCTGGTGCACAGACCATAGCTAGTATACTGAATTCTGTGTTTTACTCTGCCTTTAAAGTCACAGCAGGTGAAACGCTGTTCACTGGTTTCTGTTTTGAATGGGAATGAGGTTGACTTATCCTAACCAATCGTGAAAAAATATTTGTGAACGCTCCCTGTGTCAACAGGGGTTTGTGCACTCTGTATGGAGCTGAGCTATGTGATACTTTTGAAGAATTATCTGTGAAGCTGTAGCTGAAGCAAATGAGAAGAAAATCATTTCGAGAGACTGCTTAAGGGGTTTTTCTGTCTGACAGAAGCGTAACTTACGCTTTTGTGAAAGCCTTGATGTCTAGCCAAAGAGTACCTGGATGTATTTTTGTATTTTCAGTTTGTTCTTTGTTCGAATGTCAAAATGGAAGCTATTGACTAAAAGAAATGTTCCTTACCCAGCTTTGGGTGTTTTTTCTGTTCTGCCTCTTCAGAGGCTCATCAAAATGGGCATTTCCCTGTACCATATTTTGATTTGAATTACAACTTTGGAGGCATTTTGACTGTATGCAGATCTCTTGTTGTGGGCTCGTTTTCTAGACAGACAGCTCTGCTTTTCTGCAATCTTTTTTCCTCCTTTTTTTTTTCCGATTTAAATTGAATTTGGCTTAGGCCGACAACAAGCAGAGCAGTTCTCAGTTTTCAAATATACTTCATGAACTGTAGAATCAAATATACTAAGCATAAATAATATAAATTCACATTTAGGACTGCTTCATAATCATATACAATGATTTCAGGATTTAGGATAAAATCTGAAGATTGTTAGAACTTCTGAATGAAATGTGGAAGCTCCTTATTACTTCAGTTTGAGACATTTCTTATTTTTCTTAAAGAACTGGATGTGATGACAACACACCTTGGGCATTGTGTATCTGAAGGGATTATCCCAGTTATCTTTGTTTTCTTTACTAAAATGAGCAGAATTGAAGAATCTCAACGATGAATATACTCTAGATTTTCAATTTAAATGGAAATTTGATAAGATAATGGGAAACCTAGACAAAAGTTTAATTTTACAAATTTATTTTTCTTTCTGTGCAGCAGCAAATCAGAAACAGTGGATAGCGAGACGGTAATACGTGCTAGAGGTTTGCCGTGGCAGTCTTCAGACCAAGATATTGCCCGATTCTTCAAAGGGCTCAATATTGCCAAGTAAGAAGATAAGAACTTGTTTTGCCTTTATCACTTTCTTTAACATCGTGTGTGTTTAATATTTAGCGCGTTCTCTCTCAGAAGTCCATGCTAATGTTTCCCCTGCGCAGAAGCTGAGAAAGTGACAAACGGCGTGAGATCCAACATCACACTGCTTAATTTGTTGGCTTTACGTTCCAGAGGTGGCGTGGCCCTTTGTCTGAATGCTCAAGGAAGAAGAAATGGTGAAGCATTAGTTCGATTTGTCAATTCTGAACAGAGAGATCTGGCACTGGAAAGACATAAGCATCACATGGGTAGCAGATACATTGAGGTAAGAAGTAGCAACTTGAAACAAATATTTGAAAAGCAATCTGACTATTTTAGAGTATGATTTTAAAGAAGAACAAGGTGTGCTCCTAAGTTGCTCAAAGTAAGCAAAATACACTGCCTCACACACGAAAGAGTTGAATGTTGTAATTTTCATGGTTTTTTTTTTCTTTAAGGTTTACAAAGCAACTGGGGAAGAATTCTTAAAAATTGCAGGAGGTAAGTGATCATGGAGCTCAGTGTTACTTTCATTAAATTGTTATAGTTCTGATTTCTCTGTTGGCTGAGGGCATAAGTAATTCCTGAGGTAGCTTTTCCTGCTTTGCTGTCTAAGATTCCTTGACCCTGTGAAACTTTGCTTTCATTTGGTTGACTTAAAGCTGTGAGCGTTTGGACTGTGATCTTAGCAGGCTCAGTTTGCTGAGAGGAAGAGGAGCCTTTGCAGCAGAATTATCTTTGTACCTGACATTAATCTCTTATTTGTTTCAATTTCATTAAAATATGAACAACTTTAGGGGTAAGAGGGTCCACTTTAAGATAAATCAGTTTGGGAGTAAGTAGTGCTTCTGGTCTTCTGTGGGTTTCTTGCTAGCTACTTACTGCTGTGTTGCTCCTTAATGTGCATCTGCTCCTGTGTCCTATGGAATTGGCTGTCCATGCACTATTCTCTTTGTACTAGGTACCTCCAATGAAGTGGCTCAGTTCTTATCTAAAGAGAATCAAGTTATCATCCGGATGAGAGGTCTTCCATTCACTGCTACTCAGGAGGATGTTTTAGGATTCCTGGGGCCAGAGTGTCCAGTCACAGGAGGGAAAGAAGGACTTCTCTTTGTCAAGTACCCAGATGGCAGGCCCACAGGAGATGCATTTGTGTTGTTTTCCTGTGAAGAATATGCACAGAATGCACTTAAAAAGCACAAAGAAATACTTGGGAAGCGTTACATTGAACTCTTCAGGAGCACAGCAGCAGAAGTTCAGCAGGTTGTAACTATTGGCTGTGAAACTCAAAACTTAACAGTTAAAGACTCCTTTCAGTACTTGCACACAAATATCCTGTGGACAAGTGTGGGAGTCTGATATACTAAAGGTGTTTACTTCTGGGAAGGGAAATATGCTTACTGATTGGCAAGGAAAATTGTGTAAATTTTTTTTTCTTTTTTTTTTTTTACTGTCACATTTCTCAGACCATAAAGTAATTATTGGATTATTTTAAATAATTAAATCAATTAATTAATTAAAAGAAATTAATTAATCTGGAACCTGAAAAATTATACTAGAAAAGTTCAAGATTGTAGTAATTACGTGGTAGTAATACTTGAAACGCTGCAATATTGTCTTTAAACTCATCTCCAGTGCACAGAATTGAATGCAAAATTTAAATCTAGCTACATTAAAATAGCTTTTGCTACAGTTGTTTTGTTGGATGCTAAGAATTAGCTGCAGGTATCTCATGTCTGGCGAAAGGAAGTGAGATGTTTCTCAATCAATTCCAATATTTTTCCTCTTTTCTTTCACCAGTTCCTATTACCATCTTCTTAAACCAGTAAAGCACCAGTTTATTTTGGCACCACCAACTTTGTACTGAATCACATACTAAATTTCTCTGCCTGACAGAGTATTTCTAGACTAATAATGCCAAAAAGCGCTATTATAAGATTGCATCTGGCCTTTGAGAAAACAGTGGCTGTATTTATATAGCCTTTTATATATATAATATATTTTAAAAATATATAAGTATATAATATATTTCTGGCCTGAAATGTGTTTTGAGAATAGATTCTTGAGAAAGAGACTCCTATTGAGAGGAATTCCTTTTGCTGAATCGTTACTGACAAAGCTAAAGATTTGTAATCTCTTCATTTGGTGCCTCTTTCAGTGGAAGGTGTTTCTGATAATCACTGTTAAATACATCTTTCAGCAATAGATCCCAATCGTAAGTTGTTCCCTTTGTCACGTGGGATGAGTCAAGAGAAAATAAAATGTTGAGATCAAGGCCTCCTATAGCTCTTACCTTCATTTCAGAAACCCTGTGCCTCAAGATAGTTTTTCTGGTTAAACAAGGGTCTTTGTTTATTAACCTGTTAGCTTTATGAATGAATTAGAGCTGGGCTTTTTACTTGTCATTTATTTCAGGTCTCAGTTCTTTTAAATTGGCTGGCTTTAATTTATCCTAATCTAAGAAAAAACTGTAAGTGGCAGTACTGATATATTAGTGAAAATGTTGTTCCCAAATGCTTCTTTTTGGGATGGTCAGAAATGAACTGTTATCTTTTAATGTAATGAACTTACAAAAGTCTGTTAGTAGAGTCTAGCAGGTTAAATATGTCAGATCTGTATTGTCTTCCTTCTGAGTTATGAATTTGAAACGCCCAACAGAAAGCTGCCCACAGAAATTTGTTTTAAGAAAATGTTTTTCTCTGATGTTGGACGTGGATTTATTGAACTGTATGAAATAGCGTTGTGGAAACTGATTTGTGCTTAACTAGATGCTGTGTAAATCTCTATCCAAGTGTTTTTTTCCTTACAGGTACTTAATCGATACATGTCAACACCTCTTATTCCCACCCTCCCAACTCCCATCATTCCTGTTATACCCCCACCATATACAATTGCCACGGGTAGCATACGGGACTGTGTCCGGCTTAGAGGCCTTCCTTACACTGCTGGCATTGATGATATCCTGGACTTCATGGGAGATGCCACAGCTGATATAAAGCCTCATGGAGTTCACATGGTCCTTAATCAACAGGTAACAGCACTGCATGAAAGCTAAGTTATTGAAGATGTTATTTCCAGTTATTGGAGATGGTTAGAAGTCATGGTACCCTACCTATTATTTGCTATGCCTTAGGTCTTCTATAATTTTGAGAAAATACTTCAATATATGTCTTTTCTTCTCCCACATTGTGCCCTCCCTTCTACATACGTATCTGTTTTCCTTTCTGTACGTGTAGGCTTAAGGTAGGGGAGGACGATGCTTGTGGCAGGACTTGTTACAATAGCTTTGTCTTGGAGGCTGCCTTGAAATAGTCCTTTGTGTTTCAGACAAGTTCTGGAAATACACAGAATAGAAATGGCTTTTTTTTTTTTTTTTTTAATTCAGTGGTAGCTGCATTGTTTGAGTGGCATTTTTGGACTTCTTTTTCTAACATGACTAAAGACTTACTGGAGTTTAAAGGAAGCTGCTTATTTAACTTATGTTTTGGGTATATTTTATTGGTGCAGCTATAAGGATATTTTTTAACTTGTCTTCCTGAGTCAAGAATAAGCACCATTGACCACAGAAGCATTGAGATGCTACTCTTTGTGTAAATAAATGAGAGAGATCTACAGCATCTTCATCTCCTGGAGATGTTGGAAATTCAAACGGAAAAGATCAAGTGTGGCCTGATGTAATGTGAATGTTAGCTCTAGTCTTTTTTCTGCAGAAGGAGGTAGTATTAAGTTAACTGGGTGATGGATACCTAAGTCTTGCCTTTTTGCTTCTAAAAGTAATGATTGACTTATTAGTACTAGATACAGAAGAACAATATGTAAGTAGGTATTTATCTTGGGACTTTTTGCATTTCTTGTGTTCTGAATGGTTAAATTACACATTAGCTTATTGCTTTTTCTTTTCCAAAGGGACGACCATCAGGTGATGCTTTTATCCAAATGAAATCTGCTGACAAAGCCTTTATGGTGGCTCAAAAATGTCACAAAAAAATGATGAAGGACCGTTATGTGGAAGTATTCCAGTGTTCAGGAGAGGAGATGAACTTTGTTTTAATGGGTGGCACTTTAAATCGTAGTGGCTTATCCCCACCGCCATGTAAGTTACCATGTAAGTCTGCATTTCTTCTGCTCTCTGCTGCTAAAGGCTGATATGTGGTAGGTGCTGAAGCTTTGTGGCCTTTCGCCTTTTGACTTGGGTTTTGCCATGATCAATAATCATTCATCTGTATACATGCTGAGATTGGAATTGTTCCCTCTGGGCAATAATGGGACTGATTGGAGGCATTTTTTTTTATTGAATTTTCGGTGGTGCATAGAGGGCAGCAAGGCCTTGCCAGTGAAATAGTTGCACACTTTGCTTTTTGTGGGTGTACTGTTCTTCTGAGCTCTGCAGTGGACTTGCTTGTTGTGAAATCTACTTGGAATTAGAGGGATTTTTAAAAAGGGAATAATTCTGTACTCTAGCTGTCAATGAGTGCTCTTTCTGTCTTGCTTTAGAGCATTAAGAAGGTACTCTTTGGGTATAGCTAATTATGGTTCTCTTGTCTCACAGAGAACGACTTCTGTTAGAAAGAAGAAAGGGTGTGTTGGTGTGCACGCCTGCTTTCTCTATGCACATGGCTTTATGCTTTCTTTGAATAACTCTGAAGTTCCCTACTTACCATTTACATATAGACAGGGGTGCTCAACTGTAGGAGTTGTGAACTCTTAGGAAGAACTCGCTTCAAATGCTACAGTTTTCTTTCGCGGAAATGCGGCTCAGGGAGAGGCTAGAGAACAATATTTGTATGTGTTCATAAATCATACCTGGATGTTAAGCTCACTGGGATGAGCAAGTCCTTTCTTAAAGCCAGGGATCTGCGTTCTGACTGCTTTTTGTTCTCATATCCTGGTTTGTTTTTAGGTCTTTCTCCACCAGCTTATGCTGCTTTTCAAACAGCAGCTGTGATCCCAGCAGAAGCAGCGCTTTACCAGCCACAAGCCCTCTTGCCAACAGCAAGGACTCCCCAGGCCTCAGCTGCTGCTCCTCCAGCTGTTACCTACTACCCAGCTCAGGCTGCTCAGCTTTATATGAACTACACAGCTTACTATCCCAGGTATCCCCTAGACTCGGCTGCTTCTCTTGTCATTTTATTGCGATAGATTAGGCAGCTGTGTAATTACCTTTCAATAGCTATTTAAATTGTAGATAAATGCTGAGAAATTGTTGATCAGTGGAGACATTTTAACTACTCTGTGGCCTTTTAATGATGCTCACCCTTCTCCATAGGATCTGGTTGAACCTCGCAATAATGTAATTCTAATGTTTAGCAGCATTTTTGGCATTGATGTGATGTCATCAAGGCAGTTCTATTTCTTGGCTAAATACGAAGCCATGCCTCTACTGTCTTCTCTTAGCTTGATGTTGTACTTACAATACTGTTTTCATACTGAAAGGCTTATAATAGATACATACTAACTTAAATGTCTTATATCAATGAGACCAAAAAAATACTTTGTATACAGAGCAAATTATCTCCGCCTTTCTTCCCTCACTGATGTTATCAAGATGGTTCACTGTAGCCTGGTGGTTGGATCTGTGGGGAAATAGTTTATTGGCTCTTCCTAGGCTCATGACAATAGCCTGAGTACATGGTAACTTGTCAGATGGGCCTTGAATGGAGATACTGCTTTACTCACTTTTTGTGGCTTAAAAGCACCAGATTTTTTTCCCTTGATCTTCGTTCTACAATTTTTCTCCCATGCTTTCTTCATGGTTTTGTTAATGATCTTAGAAGAAGTCATCTGCAGCTCGTTTTTCTCCTCCCCAGTGGAACATCTGCTTTTTTTACCTTATCAACTACAAATGCTGGCTGTTTTCCTCTATGTCCCTTCTGCAAGTCATTAAATGCTGAAGAGAAGTTGGAAAAATTGACAAAGTTTCTATATCAAAGCTGCTTGTTACCTTTTTTTTTTTTTTTAACCTTATTCTTATATTTGAACTCTCAGTTTTTCTCTGCGTGCTAAAATCAGTTATTTCTTTTGATAACAATTTTGCCTCTTCTCTCTTATAGTCCTCCAGTATCCCCTACCACAGTGGGATATCTTACAGCTCCTCCAGGAGCTGTAGCTGCTGCTGCCACTGCCACCCACACTCCACTTCTACCCCAGCCTGGAGCATTAGTCCGAATGCAGGGTTTGCCATATAACACAGGAATGAAGGAGATTCTAAGTTTCTTCCAGGGATACCAGGTTAGTGTGAAGTCACTCTCCCTCCCTGATGTTTTATTTATACCTTTAAGTAATGATCAAACCAAGCAAGACTGCTTTTGGAAATTGATCAACAAGTATACAATTTCAGCGTTATTTAATTGACAGACAGTAGTAGTAAAATTTGCTCTATTTTTTATGTAATAAACACAACTGAATTTGAAGGCAACGATCTAGTGCTCACATGAAAGACTTGTTAAAGACTGCTCAGAACAGAGTTCTAGTTAACAGGCTGCGATGCAAGTCGCCACACCCAGGTTACAAAAGAGGAGAGGTGCCAGTGTCAAACTCTTGCTTGGGCCATTTGTTTTGCTTGTAGGCAGCAACACATGCCTATAAGCAAAATAAACACATTTGCATTACAGCTATTCCAACTGCATTACACTGCAACCTGAAGAGAACAGTGTTCTCCAACGCGGGTTGTACTGATAGCAAGTATGCTAAGTGCTGCTATAGGTAACTTCAGTCAGTACCTGCTGCTTCAATACTGTATCAGTAGGAAAGCATAGAAATTCATCTCCTAGAGTAAAATAAAAACAAAACAAAACAAAACAAAAAAACTACCATGTGCAAAGACTTTTTTTTTCAGCAGTCTATATTTGAATTTGTGGAATGGGTCTTTCCATGTCATCTTCTTTTGATCTTGGAGGATATTGTATCTACATATATCTATGTTTTGTCATCAGATATTTACTAAAATGGAAGATAATTGAGTGTGGTGTGTATTCTGATGAGTATTTATCTTGTTTGGGTGACAACATTTGCACAAATGCCAGAGCTTTCCTTTGGTACTACTCAGAAGACCTGACTTAGAATCTGCTTGGAGTGTCTCGAGCACCTGTTAAGTGGTATTCATAAAAAGAATGCAATTTTTGCATGAGTTTGTCTTAGAAAATTCAGTAGGTTGGTGAACAGTGGTATTGTTAAAGGCTGGAATTGTTTTGTTTTGTTGAGCATATTTGTTTAGCAGTTAACATGAAACATTCAGGCATGATATATTTTTTTTCATCCTGAAGGACAGTAGGCATTAGTTTGTAGAACCAGGTATTTGCTATGCAAATGTATGCAGAATATGAACAGGTACTTAAATATATACGTCCTCAGTTTTAAGTATTTGGAAGATACGTGCCTCTTGAGGCATCTCTTAAAATGTTACAGTTATGTTCACAAATAATTTTGCATACATGTTTTTTTCAGTGGAAAAATGTGAGGGTCAATTTGTAACAGGTGTGCTGAATTTTTGACACGCTAAGAACATGCTGAACTTAGTTGTATCTTTAAGGATTTTTCTTCAACAGAGCATCTACAGAGTTAAAACTAAATCAGGTGTTTATGGATTTATTCCCTTTTCTCTCCCCCTTCTTACACCTCCTCCCCAACAGAGCGATAATAATTTGTTTCTTATCTGTTGATACTTCACTCTTTTTCACCTGACTGGGTTTTTTTGATGGATAGACAGTGGCTGAATTAAAACCTTAAGTGAGGACTGAGTTTTCTAAACTGAAATTCAGCCAGAAGTGTAAGTGTGCTGTTGAAAAAGGACATGGTCCTATCCTGGGATTGGAGCAAGTCGGTGACTTCCAATATCTTCATCCACTACATCTTCAGTTTAGTGAAGCTGGACTTTGGGTCTGGTACTGCATTTGACCTTGTACTTTTTTCTGCATTTAGAGATTAGCTTGTAGCATTTGATTGCACAGTTAAATGTTTGAAATTAATAGAAATTTTACCACAATGTGAAAGCAATTTATATTCTTCTGCTGCAACCTTGTGTCGTCATCAGTTACTTTATTAAATTGGTCACCTCTTTGATTTCTTTAGAAGATGTTGTCCAAATGAGCTCGGGTTCAATATCTTAAAGGAGCCAAGGAGTTATTTTGAATTGTTCTTGGATCCCACATGTGGTAATGCTAGTTTTATAATCCCTCATTCCTTTAGGGGAAAACTGAGGTGGTGACTTGCTTTACTGGGACAATATTGAGTCTCTGGAGGAAATACTAATTTTCTTTTTTTTTTTTTTTCCCTTCTCCTCCTCCTCATGTTATGTATTTCACTTACTGCTGCTGCCCAAGGATGTATTGCTCGATGCTTCTGGTCACTTATAAAGTGAGCCCTTAATAATTGTCAGTGTTCTGGGCATGGTTTTAATCTCTGCATAACTAATTGATGTTGGTATTCAATGGGCTTGGGAAACAGATTGGAGAAGCTGAAATTGAAGGGTGATTTTTTTTCTCCTTGTCTGAAAGGAACAAGTTTTTGAGTTCCTGCTTTACGCTCTGTTTTCTTCCTTCAGTCTTCATGGGCTCCATATATTGCATGTATGCACACGTTGCTATTGAAGTGAAAACACCTTCTGTACCAGACCTGCCTCATAAAAGACAGTCTTTGTGTATAATGGGCTTTAACAAGCTGGTCTCAACATCAGTACATGCTTCTAATAGTAAATAACGTAAACATCTGCAGATCAGCATTTTATCACTTATTTCCATTTTCAATTATTTTATCAGCACAGTTCTCTTGTTGAGTGGTTCACATAGCTCAATTTCTTCCTATAGTTATGCTTTTTTTGTTGTTTTTACCATTGAAAATTCCTCCCAGCTTGCATGTGTTTAATGCATTTTGCATTAAACAATCTTAGAAAGCTTGTGAATAATCTTAATAGCGAATCTTGGAGATAGTAACTTTCCCAATCACCTTTCTGTATGATGTTGTAGTGCACTGTAACATTTAAAATAGCCAGTATTAAAACTTTCTGATTTAGTAATTACTCTGTTAAACTGTTGTTTGTTTTTTCTAAGTTGTGTTCTGTTGTAGCTGGGCCGGTGATTTCACTCCAGTCATGTACAGGATTTGTAGCTAAAAGATGCTTGAAGAGGGGAAGATCATTAACAACAAAAAAAAAGTGTTTATAATTCAAAGTGGACAGCGGTTCTTTAAAAATGTAGTGGGCTTACATGCCTTTTATCTGCAGCTGTATAGAACTTGCAGTGTGTTAATCCTCCAACTCTTCAGGGACCCAAAATTCAAGACTTGCTGGAGTGGGAAGTTGTACTTAAAACCGTAATAAGGAGGTAGAGGGGGAAGGATGGATGGCTAAATTCCAAGAACATTAACAACCTTTCTCCCTTGTATCAGGACAGCAGGCTTCATTGTTACAGACTTCTTAAGGACTAGTTCTTTTTCTCCGAAATGCATGTTTGAACAAAGAACTATTCTCTCTTTCCATTGGGTTCCTTTTGAAATCTGATGCTCCATAGTCAGAGAGGGATAGCCACTGTCTGTGTGCCTGTTCTTGGCGCAGCACCTTCGGTCCAGGGAAGGGAATAAGGGGATACGATGGAGAAATCCCACTTACTGTTGCTTTGTTCCTAAATTTATCTTCTTTCTGAAACTTTGTTCTTGTAGGTAAAGCCTCTGTGAGCATGGGATTAGTAAATTAGTGGTTACAGTTTCTGTCAGTTGCCTCCTGCGTTTGATGCAGCAAAGTAAGGCAGTACTCCAAGCTGTGATTTTCGTCATCTCTTTTAGGACAGAGGTGTTTGTTGTTGTTTTTTTTAATATACATCTGCCACTTAATATTATTAAAGATTATTATAATACATACTATTTAATATTATAGTGTTATTTAATATACATGAGTTGAAATGCCTCTGCCAATTCAAATGTTAATACCTAGAAGGGTAGATACACTTGTACAATAATTCACTGGCTCTATTAAGAAACAACACATTCTTCAGCAAGCATTGTTTTGCTTTACTTTTGACAATGTCTGTCAATGTCCCTGTTTTTCAGTCCCCTTTGTTCAGTATGTATGCATATTCCTTCTGTCATCATGCATCCCCCTGTCCCCGCTGAGTGGATGTGGGGGAGAAACTGCTTGCTTCTGAATCACAGGATCATTTAGGATGGAGGGGAACTCTTCGCATCAACTTCAGCCCAGCCCTTGAAGAGCCATGGGCTCAGCAGGTGAAAAGGCAGCAGTCTGAGGAAAGAAGCTGTGTTTCAGTTCAGAGAAGCAAAGAAGGTGGGACTGAGATGATAAGGAGGATACTGGAGACTGGAACAATGAGATATGCTTATAATTTTATTGCATTTAAAGGCAACTATTGCAGTATTTCTTATTGATTGTTTGTCTGTTAAGGGTAGAGTTCAAAAATACAGTATGAAGTTTCATATTGTCTCAGTAATACTTATGGCAAGCAAGCTCTAGAACCTAGCTCAGTGAAGTTGCAACTGGTCGTACGAGGCGTTTAAATCGCTGGGTGGAATTTCTCAGATCTAAATGGAAGCAGAATTTGGCCACCAGCAGAACAGTATTTTCATTTGGAGCACTGGGATTATAGATTCAGCCTGGATTTTACACTGTCCATCCTGAGTTGTTTGATGTTTTTATTTTGCATGGGTTTCTGAATTGTGAACAGAATCAGAAGTATTCACGATTGTGTTTTTAATCAGGCAAACTAAGGTAGTTTCTATTTCATTCACATGTTTTTGTTCCCCACTTCTTTTTCCTGTCTTCGTTTGCAATAGTTCTTTTTGTGTAACCTGTAAATTTGAATAATTTACTATTCCATAACTTATGCTTTAATTAAATGCAATCTCACTTTCACTTGCTGTGATTGAAAGCTACTTCTATCATTAGGTATTTTTATTTCCATTTTCTTTTTCAGGCCTATGGCTAGGCCTAAGCTACAACTTCCATGTTTCTTTGCTGGGTAATTTTCCTACTTTCATGTTTTCCTCATTGCTTGTGTTTTGAACACTTGCCCTCAGTAGAAATTGTAGACCTTTACTTACTATACATCTACTGATAATCTAAAGTATGTACTATCTTGAGACATTCTTTCCAAAGAGTAAACTTACATTTTGTAGATTTGTTTCAAGGGCAGGTCTGGGAACTGATAAATCTAATATTTGCACGTTCTGGTTGCCCTGGCAGAGACTATCTGGAAAATACTTCTTATATTTGTCTTTTACTTACTGGCATGGTTCTAGATGTAAGAGGTGGCTAGAAATAGTAGTAAAAATTCTGAGAGTCTCTTTTCTTTTTTGTTCTCTGGGCTCTTGGTTTTTGTTCTCTGTGGAAGGTGTATATTGTGATGGTTGATTTGGTTTTGTTTTTTTTCTTCAGCTTCGCTTTGGATGAATACAATGTGTATTGTACACCCAAGTATAGTATCATTTCCTCCCTAAGCTGGCAGGAGACTTCTTGTGTTATAAAAATATCAAAGAAAGCAGTATGTGTACTTTGTGTGCATTTGGCAATCTTCTAAAAAATATTAATGCAAAACCATTTTCGGGGACATAGAAAACTCTCCTTGCCACTGAAAGGTTGTTCTGTAACTTGAGTTGTGGTAGACATTGTCATCTGGGTTACAGGAACCACTCCAGTAGCGTTTGTAGCATGTGCAGGTATGCTCAGTCCTTTTCCAGGATATGTCAGTTTGGAGAGACAATGAGAGACATGCAAAACAATGTTCCATGTTTCCCAAGATAATCCTTCTGATCATAGATCTCATATTTGTACCAGGCTCCCCGGCAGTGTGCATGATAACTGTTCAGATTCAAGATCTCAAGTATTTCTTAAATAAAACCCACATATGTGGGGGTTTTATCTTCTATTCCTTGGTGTGACTGTACTGTGCAGCCAGTGTTTTTATTTGAAATATTCTACAAGTCTGTTGTGATGCAGTTAATCTGAGTAGCTTTTCTTTTTTTATGTGGAAATAAGCTATATTAGTATAAATGCCTTTGAAAAAATCTATTAAGTACATTCATGCTGGGACATCATTTTTGTTTGGCTATGTTGATGTCAAGTCTGTATAATGCAAGTATTTTATACAGCTGAAGTGTGTTTAGTACTCTGCACTAGAGAAGCTGCAGATTATTTCCATGACTGCATAGAAGATCTGAATGAGATCTGTACACTTCTAATCCCAGTATGCATGCTGAAAGATGCTTAGCTGTCCCAGTGAGAGTCATTTCTGGAGCGTGATTGTGCAGACTTAAAATATTTGTTAACTAATGCTGTCTCATGAGTACAAGTTGAAAAGGAATACTTCATGGTCTAAACTGTTTCCTTTTGTTAATTAGGAGCAGCTCAAATACACAGTTCAGAATATTCCCCACGTGCTTATACTTCAATTGCATTTTTACAACCAGTAATTCAGTTGATGGTTGTTTTTCAATCTTGCTTAAAAATAGCATCTGTCAAATTCACTGTCTCCTGCCAGTTGTTATAGCTAATGCTCTTAATTGTGGTTGCAAATGATAGCCTGTGTGGCTTGCTGTACCAGAACTGTTCCTTCTCTTGCTGATTATCATATGTCACACTTGTACTGTAGTATGCACCTGATGACTACAATGGCCTTATTCAGCTGAGCGAACAAGCAAGGAGTGTGTTACAAGCACCGAAAGAGTGGGTCTGTTTGTAACTCTTTGTAACTTCCAAAGAAGGTAAGATGCAACTCGAAGCAACTGGATCTCCAATGGTGTATGGGAAGCTAAAGCAGGGTTTCTTGATGCAGTTTTTGTTTTCTTTCCCCCCTTCTTAGCTTGCGTCAGGATCCTTGCTTTAATCTTTTGCTTTTGTCCTATTAAAAAAAAAATAATCTACTAACCTAAGCAAAAAGGCCAATCATGATCTGTAATTGGTGGAGTAGCTGTGGTGAGATTGCCTGGTTTTGCTCAGATAGTGTGTTAGCCTTCCAAAAATGTTTGTTTTCATGTAAAGCTTTCAGTCCAGTATCTAACATACAGGCAGATGGTCTTTTTTTTTTTTTTTCTTGATGTGACTATAGAATGTGTGCACAAAATTCCCAAACCTCTGGATCTTTTCTCTGCCTCTTGATCTCACTGCAGAAATGTGAACTACTTTTTTTGTTTTGTTTTGTTTTTAGGAGAGATTTTTTGGTATAGTGGTTTTCTAATACCACAAACTAATGGCATACTTTTCAGTACTACCATATACTTTGAAGAGAAATGCCATTGATACTTAGGTGCAATTAATCATTTCTATTGTATTCCATTCAAAATGCTACTGATTAGTTGCTGTGGGATTTTTTCCCCCTTTTGGAGGGTTTAAAAAAAGTTTCAGTGCAACAAAAGGGTAATCAAATACTTTGCCTTAATAGCAGTATGTTCATGCCCTCCGTAATCAACGTAACTACTCTCATATAATCAGCATTTGCTCAGTTGTTTTTGAATTACTTGCTTTATAATGTTACTATTAGATCTGCTAAGGAGAAGACGGAGCAGAGGCTGCATTTTCTGTGGTATGCAGAATACCTGCTACTACTTGGAGCATTTTTGTGTTTATGCAGACTGGGACAATCCATTTGTCTCTCTTCTTTTACCCAGATTTTCTGGAAATCCAACCAGCAATAGGGTTCTACTGTGTATTAGATGGAAATGGTCTTTGACTAGAAAAGAAGTTGTAGAGTAGCTCAATGTGAATTCTACATACTTCAAAGATTATAGATACCATTCCTGCTGTCTTCTGTGCTCAGCAGTCTAACTATGCTCCATGTATGTTTTCAACTGATTTTTAACAGCATGGTTTAGCTTAAATAGAGGACCAGCAGAAAATGACTTGCTGTTACAAGGATCAGCACTAAAGAGCTATTTTAGAGCAGACTATCTCAGATTTGTGCAATTTTTCTCTTTGAGCACAGTGTCATTCTGAAATAAAACTCAGTTTATTTCTAAATCTGAACTGGGCTTCAGACATGATGTTTTGTCTTTGAATTTCTTCCTGCATGCTATTTCTTAACTAACTTTATAAAATGAAATGGATGTGAAGTCTGTGCTAGCTGTCCTTATGCTATGTCCATGCTTTTAGTTTCTAAAATATGTTGTTGCTTCTATCTTTAAGAATGATTTTATTGCCTGCCAAATATTTGGGTTTGTGAAGCTCCGGCATGTGTTGCTTTATTTTTCTATGTTTGAATGTAAAGCTGATCAAAAACTTCTTCTGATAATAACTGAGAAGTCTAGTATTCATTTCAGACAGTGAGGCATACATGAATTCTATTCAACTTCAGTATTTTGATCCTTCATAAGCTCAGGAGGGCATATGTCACATGAACTCAAGTCAGGAAAATACTCCTAAAATGGTTGGCCTTGCAGCATAGCTTGTGTGTTTTGTTTGGCACTGAATTCTGCAACAGACTAATCTTGTATGCTGGGCTTTTTTTTTTTTTAATCCTTCAGTCTTTTGTTTAGAAATTTCACTCAGATCCATTTCTGTCCAGTGTACAAGTGGGACTTCTGAACTTAACCTGTACAGGTTTCCAGTGCTGTAAGAGATGGCTGGGTACCACAGGGGAGCAGACACATCTGCTTTAAACTCAGCATTTTGAAACTGTCTTCCATATCAGGCACTGCAGGTGCACTCTGCAGTAAATAACTAATTTAATTTGCTATCCTGTCTTTTTCTTAGCTTCCTTAAAATGATTAAAAAGTTTTCCTTGGTTCAGTAAGATTTGGTGCAGTACTTCAGCTTTCTTTCACTGAGAAGTCTTTCTTGCTTTGTAAACCTGGGTTAAGATCAGTGGATCTTCACAACACAGAGCTGTAATACGTCTGTCTCTTTTTGTAATCTTCGCATGCAAGTCACATGCTGTTACTGCCTTTGTCAGTTGGCCAGTAGTCCACATATTACAAGAATTACCTTCTGAATGCTTACATTTTCTTGCTCCTTTAATCCTTTATTAATGTCTAAGTCTTTTTGATCAACCTTTAAGCTGAATTACTTCTCTAGCAAAAACTCTGCATGGAATTATGTCTACATCATTCTGTTCAGTACACCAGCAGAGTAGGAGCTGCTGCTGAAAGCATATTTCTGTTAATCTGTGGTCTCTTCTCTTTTTTTCTCATTCTTGCATCCAGAAGCTCTTCACTGCAAACACAGGACTGGAATGAACCTGATACAGAGAATGAAAAAACTGCTGTTCCAGATGTCATCTCTGGTTTTAATAGCACATTTTCCTTTTGTCTTTTTGTACCATTGCAGCTCCACACAGATTCCATCCTCATGCTTTACAACTTTAGTGGCCAGCCCAGTGGAGAGGCATTGGTGACTTTTCCAAGCCTGGATCTAGCTAAGAAAGCAGTGGCTGAGAAAAATGGACAGCTCCTGGGAGGCTGCTGTGTAGAACTGTTGCTGGTCTAACTAAACACACTCTGGGGCATGGGGAAGGAATGTCGTGCTGAACACTGTGCCTTTTACAAAATAAGGAGTCTTCCCTTGCCACCCCTGCAGCGTCAAATGTGCCTTTTCAACATGCTGTGTTGGAATGTAGAATGGTACATGTCCTGTATTTAATTTGAAAAAGGGTGTATTGTATGCCAAAGATAAAGCAACAGGAAAATATATGCAGTTAATTTACTTATTCTCTTATGTACTTGTTTGAAAATAAGCAAACCCCTTATTGGCAACTTGTTAATTCTGAAGACAGTCTAATAGCACTTCAGCTGTCGCAGCCATGGGAGGAACCTATTGCCTGTTCAGTAGCATTTGAAGTGGAAAGTGAAGCTTGAGTCATTCAGATTCTTCTGTGTTTAGTTTTTAAGAGTTTACACTCGGCAAAGTGTCTGTTTTTTGTAGAATTGAAATGTCTTTATAAAGGGCTTTTGGAATGTGTAGCATTCCCAACTCAAAGCATATAGCTCATTGATTTTTTTTTTTTCATGGTTGTTCTTGATTGGAAAATACCAGGATGCTGGACCCCAAATACAGTTGTGCTTTCTCATGTTTTCGTTATGTTGTTTTGCAAAAGCCATATTTGTCTTTCCTACCAATGTACTGCTGCCAAATGTGTAAAGCAAAAAATAAAAACAATGGCAAAAACGGAAGAATCCTCTGTGCCCAACCAGAATTCCCTACCCAACCCCAAATTTTTAATCTCTACAGGACAAAAATGGCACATAAACCTGAGTACTAATAAGTTATATTTTTTTATTTAAGCATAATAGCTTTCAAATACTGTATTAAAGATTTTGCTCTAGTTTATGTGCATGCGATTTGTTTACATCTTTGAACTACTTTATTTGTATATTATGAAACAACAAGATATGTTGAAATCTAAATTCTCTAGTGCATGCTTTTTTCTTTGTGTGTATATACATAAGCTAGAAGTACTTTGTCATGTAGCATGTGTTTAAAAAAAAAAAAAAGACATCTGCTGTAGAAGCACTAAATGACTTTGTTTTTACCGTGCCTTACTTCAAAACTATTCCAAGTGCAATACCAGCAGAGCAAAACATGAGTCCTTTTGTGACATGTTCATGGATGTCTGGATTGATTTTTTTTTTGTTTGTTTTGTTAGCGTACAATGCGTTGTACTTAAAGGAACTGAATGATGTATGCTTCTTTATATTACAACGAATAAAAGAGATGCTTACGATGTGTGTTGGTTTCTGAAAGTAACTTATGCTTTAACGTAATGTCACGGGGCATCATTTTCTCATAGTAACCTTTTATCTACTCTGTTCACCCCTTGACTTCAGAAGAGTGTATGTATTTTGTGAGGGAGTGCGTAGGGGTGTCTGTTGTTTTTCAAATGTTCTGGTAAGCCAGAAATGTGTGTGGTAAACACTTATTTTTCAGTGGAACTCTTCTCAGAGAGTGTTGTAACATTTCATATGCTCACTTCTCATTCTGGTGCCAGAAGAAATTTAGTATGGAACCTGAAATCCAAAAGTGCACACAGTTTCCACTGCTGATGAGTCATTCCCTTTTCTGTGTAATCCAAGTGCTGCTTTTTGTTGTGACAGAGCTCGATATAATTTCTGCAGAAAAAAAAATGAAGAGGGAAACATCTGATTAAGATGGTTCAAATCAAACATACCCAATTATCTCATGCCACAGCTGCTGTCAACGTTACCACCTCCAGGTGAAGCCTTGCTGCTCACAGCTGTGATGGATGATGCTGTTTGGTGCTCTACGGAGGCTGTTAGCAGCAGGCTCGCTTCAGGCAAATCCTGCAACCAGAAACAAATCTGAGAGGAACTTTCACAGAAGGTAGAACCACGCCATTATAATTACTGCTCTTCTCGTGTTTCTGAGTACAGAAGGTAGAAACTTATTTAGCAGACAGTTTATTGCACTGCTATATTGTGCCACACCACCGTTGACCACATCTCGCGGCTTTGCCAGCAGTTGAAAAGACTTGTTCTTCTCTTAGTACCCTGCATTAAATCCGTGATTGTCTGCTATCTGAAGTGATGCTCCGTTTACCCGGGAGCATCTCCTTTCTTACGGCCCCTTCCCTGTTCCTAGGCGAGCCTTCCTCCACACCCTCAGTGCTGAGGGAGGCTGCGGCCGTTGCTCCCCTCAGCGCCGGCTGCGGCGGTGCTCCGCTGCTCCCGGCGGCCGCTCGGCCCCGGCTACGTGGCCAAAGCCCCACGAAATCAAAAGCAAACGAGGCTTGCGAGCCTCCGGACCTCTTTTCCTCGTCGGTTGCCCCAGGACGGTCGGCTGTAAGGCCGGGGTTGGGAGAGAAGCCTCGAGGAGCCGCAGCGGGCTGCGCTGACCCGCCTCAGCCTCCCCGTGGTGTGTCCCCTCCGCTCCGGGTTTCCTCCCTCGCCCAGCAGCGCTCCACGTGCACGTGAACCCGGATAGCCGAGGCCCGGCTGGCGGCCCGAGGCGCCGTGGCACAGCTGTGTGCTGCCGAGGGGAGGGGCGGTGCGGGGCGGGCAAAAAAAGGCCGCGGGAGCAGGTGCGACTCGTGCTGCTGAGGGCCGCGTGCTGCTGCTGCGTGGTGCGGCCGCCTTCACGCCGACAGCTCTGTGCGAACGGATCGCGGCTTCCCTCGCGTGCTTCCAGATGACGACTTGCAGCGCTGGAGAATTCACGGTAAGGTCGAAATTCACTTTTTTTTTTGTCTTTGGTGTGCGCGTTTATTCTTTGCAATTGAATTTTTTGACCTGCCACATCGCAGAGAGTGCATTGAGGAGTTTATTTGCGTGTTCCTGTTTGCTTGACGCTGGTGGTTGTACATAGGAATTACTGATACGTTTGTCCTTTCGTGTGTTGCTCCCAGTTTTGGGAGAAGGTGCTGCGTGCTTATTAGCTGAGATTGAGGTGAGTTGGGACTGAAGAGCTTTGAAAGGCAGCTCCCTGTGCTTATGGCTGCAGCTGTGCTTCTGGCTCAGGTGTTCTGTGCTGGAATTGCTTCATCTGCAGAGCAAACTCTTGCCCTATGATAAGTTTTGCTTGTTTATGTTAATGAAGATAGTTTCAGTGAACGTTAGCTGGTGAAAACCCACTCCTTATTTTTTGAAGCGCTCTTTGTATCTTTTTGGCCCATTAAAATAAATCAGAACTGTTGCTGTTTAGCTGCTTGCATCCCGTTCTGTAGAGATGTGTGTTTGGCAAAGTCCATGGTAATAACTTTTGGGGCTGATACAGCATCTCCTAGGAGTTGGCTGTACCTAATGGTGGAAAAGCCTAAAGCAGAAATCTCTCCTCATCTGTGTCGAGGTCTGCCTAGCGACAGGAGCCTCGAGATTTCTCAGCTGCTTCAGTGGGTTTTAGCTGGGCGCTTCGTTAAGCCGGCCCGTTCCTTTGTTCGCTGCCTGCACTGAGCCGTATTGCCGCTAGAGGGCGCCCTCCAACCGGCTGTGCGAGCGGCGCGCGTAACGTGCGAGAGCGTCGATAGCGGCTGCAGCGGGAGCGACGTGCAAATGGCGATGTGCCATCCGTGTCTGCTGCTCCTACAGTCCGAGGTCATTAAGTTCACAAAACCAGATTTTTTATTTTTTTTCAGTTTGTACCTGTTTTTTGTTGTTCTTAGTTTCTTAATTATTTTAAATGTTTTCTGCCTACAGTGGTTTGACAGAGGTGTTTAAAAATGTACAAAACTGCTCAACCAGAGGGAATAACTGCTATGAACTGACACTATTCATAAATTCTTTTTGTTGAGGATCTTGTGTACACTAATCACTCAGAGGACAGTATGTACATCACGTAGAAAGAAAGGTCACAGAATCACAGAATGGCCAGGGGTGGAAGGGACTTCTAGGATCATGAAGCTCCCCTGCCACATGCAGGGCCACCAACCTCCACATTTCACAGCAGCCCAGGCTGCCCAGGGCCCCATCCAACCTGGCCTTGAACACCTCCAGGGATGGACGGGGCATCACAGCCTCTCTGGGCAGCTGTTCCAGCACCTCACAGTTCACACAGTACAGAACTTCCCCCTGACATCCAACCTAAATTTTCCCTCCCTGAACTTAAAAACCATTTCCCCTTGTCCTGCTGTTATCCACCCTTTCAAAGAGTTGACTCCCTTCCTGTTTGTAGGTGATGGTGATGGTCATAAAAAACAGGAGAGGTTTTTAGTGTTGCTCTCGTGCTTCCCGTATCTCGAGACTTTTGCTTTTAACGGTCACTTGTCATTAGCACTAAATTTTCTGCTTGGTGGGGAGGAAAGTTAATGTGTTTTGTTTTTTATTTTTTTGTTTTTTTTTTTTATGCATATCTTCACTTGAAAAACAACTTGGAACACTTCAAATGGATGTAAATGTAGCTTTTAGAAAATGCTTGTGTGTATAGAGCTTCAAAAGCTTTACTCTGAGTGTTTTTAAAAGAAAAGTGTGTAAAAGTATGTGAGAACAGGATGAAGAGAGCATATTTCCATGCTATGGAGTAGCAAGAGAACTTACCTCTTTTTGTTACATCAAAAGCTAGTGCTTAGGTCTTACTTTTCCTTACATGAATGCTTTTCTGAACATTTTCTGCACTATTTGCTGTTAGGGCCGTGTCTTCTTAAATCCATCTTTGTGGATGGCAGATACAGACTGGCTGTAGGAGAACAGCATAAGCAAGGTGTAACTGAGCTGAAGGAAGAGGTGAGCTGGCTGCAGGTGCTTCCTGGTCTGCAGTCAGGGCATGAGGGGTGAAGTGAGGAAGGGACAGACTGGGTCTCATCTGAAGTCTAACGTATTTTGCTGTAACTTAATCCAGTGAGTTCTTAAATGTGCTCTGAAGCATGGGTCTTATTCTCATTGGGCTTGGTGGGTCTGTCTTCTGTTTAATGAAATGCATCCTTCTACCACCATAATTTTACTGAGAAAATCCACACAAATCACATTTAATATTAGTTGTAACAAAAGCATTAATTTTTAAATATCTGTTTTTGACAATTTTGCTTAGCTTTTTCTAAGTGATGTTATCTGTGCTTGAGTATAAAGTTGCAAGATCGCTTGTAATGCTGTAGTATTTACACTTTCCACTTACAATTGTGTAGTATTTACCTCTTAAATCCTCCTAAAATGACTAATCAATTCATGGGCATCATATTGGTAATGCAACCTGAAAAGCAGGCCAGATGATGATCTGCAGACATCCTGAGCAAGCAGTAAGTAGTTAGTTATACCTGCTCACAGTCCTCTGAATAATTGGCCACTTCTCTTGCTTATAAAGAGGGAAAAACTTACAGTAATGGCAGCTTCCACGTGTTCAAGGAAATGCAACTTCTGCTTATCTCTGAGCTTAATCTCTTTGTTCAGCCAAAAGAGATTGGGGAGTGAGAGATTACAGTGTGGCAGTGTCTTCATGAGAGGGCCTAGGTGCTGCTGATGGCATCACACGGTGTCAGTATGCTAACACTGAGGGGAAACTTGGCATGCAGTGGCAACAATATTGAGGGTTTTCTTCCTATTCTGGTCACTGGCACCAGGAGATCTCGCAGCTGTTCTGTTTTTAAATACGGCAAGTCTGAGGAATGAGAATGGTGACGTTACAGTGTAGCAACTTGCAATTAAAGTGGACCTCAGGCCTTTCGGTCAAGGGGAAGTTCAGTTCTGTATGCTGTGTCTTTTGAAGCTCTGTAATAACTGGACTAGTTTGACTAATGATACAGAGATTAACATCTGCCTTCTAAGGATTTAGAAAGTGCTGTGATTTTTTTCCTGACCTGTTTTGAACAGGAAAAGCAGGTTAGGAATATGCTGAGGATGCCGTCTGCAGCCTTAGCAAATACTCTGGGTAGAATGGGATGTGGTGGAGGCTGAGGGCACTACTGCTAAGAGACTCTTTTGGGGATAACCGAAGCAGTGAAGGTGAGGAGAAAAGTGCAGCAAAGTGAATAGATTCAGCTGCCTGTCTCTGAGCAGGTAGCTCTGGAATGGTTAGCACCACAGCCTCAGCAGCACTGCGTGGTGTTCAGTCAAGAAGCTGGGCAGACAGAGATGTGGTTACAGGACAGAGGTGGTTCTGCTCATGTTGGTGGTCTCGTGAGCTGCAATGACAAGTGATTACAAAATAATGGGCTCTAGATGTTTTGAGGCAGTCCAGATAAACCAAGTTGGGGAAAGATTGCTGGGAATATGATTATGACTTTTTGGTTGTGTGTCTGTCATTGAGCATAAAAGAAAGTTTAGACTTTAGATACAGAATGGGAAATTGTATTTGGAGTACAAAGAAAGGGCCAAGGAATCACTTTTCTTGTGCCAGCTCTGCAGTTTTCATAGCTGCATAACAAAGCTTATTTAGCAAGAGGGAACATGTAGTATTTGTATTGAGGTCACTGTAAAAGCACTGTTTGCTTGAGGTATAATTATGGAGCTGGTAAAGAACCAGACAGCCTTGGATCTGAGCAGCCTTAAATTTATAACTGTGCTATTTGAGTCAGAAATTCTTTACAAAAGCTGTTACAATTAATAAGTAACTTCTGAATTCTATTTGGCAAGCACAGTAGGTCTCAGCAGAAATTCTTCTTATTCCTGTCTATTGTTACTAAACTCCAGAAGTGCTGTCTCACATCAGCTATAGGTATAAAACTCGTACAAAATACATGGATATGGTTGCTGTTTAACAGACTGTGCCACTAAAACTTGAACTCTATGAACTCTTTGTGTAAGAGGACTTGCATTTTTCCCTGAATGCTCTAAACCACTGCCCTCCCCCCCACACTTGAATGTTTTTCTCTATTGTTCAGAGTACCCAGGAAAAATAAGACTGTGGTTTATCATTCATTTTTGTTTTTTGCCCACATAAAACATAGGCTGTTTTTAAGCTTTATTAAAAACACTCTGTTCTTAGTGCTCCAAATCAACTGGTGAGCAATGATAGTGAAGAGATGAGCTTTTCAGTAATTTTCTTGACATAAGCAACAAATGGTGCTTTGCAGATGCGTGTTGTTCAGTGTGCAATGTGAGTGAGTAGCTGTGCAGAAGAGTAACTGCTATGAGAATCTGCTGCTCTGGAAGATGCAATGTTAGAACACCAGTCACTCATTCTTTTCTCTCAAACAGATTCTGCTGGCATCCTTTTAGGAATTACATAATGCTTCATACTTGCTACTCTTCAATCACTTCTATCAAATTTCATAGGTTTAGAAGGTGTCTTTCAGAAATGACAAATGAAATCTAAGATCTAGAACTTAATGTGTTCTATTCCTCACCAGTGGATTGCAATGGATTCCTCACAATTGGCTTGCAAATAGCTGACCGTGAAGGATGTGGAAGACAGCCTGAACTGCTCTGTCACTGAGGTAGCTTTTCAGTACTAAAAGGAGTAAACAGGTTATTGGTTTGTTTGTTTAGACACGAAAATTGAAGTGGCAACTTA